GGGTCCAAGTACCCAATGGTTAGGTCCCTGTAAAGGGGATATATGGGCGTGAATGTATGTATAGGGAGGGGGCTTAGGGTTTAGGGCCCTATAAGGGTCCAAGTACCCAATGATTAGGTGCTGAGGTATTGGGTAAAAAACAAGTTTAGTACAGGTTTGGGGTAAGTATATGATTATTGGGTACTTGGACCCTTAGGGAGTGGTAAGCTCTTTTTCTGTTTTTGGGTTAGCTGGGAATGGAGGAATGGAATAGAACATGGAAACTACTTTGCGGGGTTGTATAGGGAATACCGTAAAGATCCATTCGTTCATTCCTAGCTAGCCAAAGGCCAGTTTTGTCCATCTTCCGTTGGATTGGTTACGTCAGAACCAGAAACTCCATTCAGGGGTATTTGGAGTACTGCCATAATCCGAGCACTTCACTAATTTGGGGGGGGTACCCCCAGCCAGAATAAGGAATGGAGGGCGCCACATTAAAAGAATGATTGGGCCACCTGGAGCTCAACTAAAAACGAGCAGGAAAGGGTTTAGGGTTTAGGGTTTAGGGCATTCCTGCATCATTGGGGCTCTTGAACCTCTGTTAATTAAACAATGAATAGGAACGTATTGAATATCTCTATTATCAGGATTGGTTCCCCAATTGTTTTCTTTAAATCTACTCCCTTTTCGCCATACGAAAAGCCACCTAATTGTAGCTAGTCTTTGGAGCTTAATTCTACCCCCAAAGATGTCTTTAAATATGGTCCCTGTTATCAGTGTAGTGCTCGGATTCATGTAGACCCCTTATTAATCAACCCCCCTCCCCTTCATAGGGATTATGGTAGGGATCCTAATATTAAGGCCCTTCAAAGGAGGGGGGTTTATTAATCATGGGTCTACATTAGCTTTGTAAGGGGGGTCCAGGCAGACAGGGAAGGCGGCTTTCATCTTTAAAAGGCAAAGTTCTACAATGCATTTTCGCCATGTTTTAGGGTTTAGGGTTTAGGGGTTTAGGGTTTAGGGGTTTAGGGTTTAATGTTTAGGGTGTGCCTAAGCTTACCCGAAGGGTTCAAGTACCCAATAGTGAGGTAGTTGGGTATTCGTCATTATAGGACAGGTTTTGGGTAGGTATATGAACATTGGGCACTTAGACCCTTAGGGTAAGTTTACCTTTAGAAGAACCGCTACGCGGGGCATACTATACAGAAGTGCTATTGGCCCCAAACTACCCCCCCACGACCATTTGAGCTGCTGAGGCTATATTGCCTCCTTTGATGATGCTGAACTAGATATGGCAGAACAAGAGCTGGAACACCGACAGGCCAAAAATTTTGGCCTTTCTTAGGCTCTGGCTTGGGTTAGGCCGCCCACCCATCCACTAATAGTGGTATAACAGGAATACAGAGGGGTCCGAATATGCTAACCCCTTTCCCTTGTGTTCACAAGTTGTTTGTGCGGGCCTAACCCACAGCCGGGCAATCAAGCGGTACCCTCAACCATAAACCTAAAGGACCTAAATCCTCAAGCCGTGAACTCTGAACCCTGAATTCGACACCGTGTCTTCAGGAATTGGGGTCTGAACATGCATCCCTAAAGTGGAATTTTGGAGTTCCAGGGCCCACCAGAATCTTTTGGTGGGAGTCCCTGCAGCCAGGCTTATAGCAAGTTAGAGTATACAATGGGGACGACTATGTCTGGAAACCCACATCGCTAAGATTTGGAAACCCTAGGTATTTTCCCACACGGACAATCCCCTAAAGGGTTCATGGCGGGTGCATGAAGGCTTACTGTAGCGCATGTTCGGGAACTGTCATTTCTGTGCATGAGGGCCAACCGTGACTTTCACCATTAATAGTGGTCGTTTCACCTGCCCCGTCTCATAAGAGACGCAGGTTGCACACAGACGGTTTCCGGAAAAAAAAACATGCTGTTTGCCTCATGGTCAGGGTTTGGGCTTAAGATCCAGGATGTAGATAGGGCTTGGGTCACGGATTGTAGCATTCTGTGGCCATGACGGGTGGAACGGGCTTGAGAAGGGCTTGCCAAACTTTTACAAGCTCGTATATAATTCTCACAGCGCCCCCAGATTGTCATGGTCTGGGGGCTTGTAATTTGGATAGATATATATATATACATACATATATATATACATACAGACACATATATAATATGGATAATTACATATATATATATGTATAATAGCAGGTGCCAGTCATTTTACCCTTGGAATACATCTTAGCAAAAAACAAAACGGACCACCTTGCGAGCCTAACGCAATAAACAGAAAAAAAAGCCTGGACTCCAGATCAGAGTGGCGTGGTTGGCTGAATTCTGCAACTGTATTTGAATCTTTCCGAAAAGAAGAGATGGTGTGCTCCGCAGGAAATATGCTTCATTCACAGCAGGGTGCAACGCCGGTGCGTTTCGGAAGTACGCCTCGCAACGGCATGACGCCGGGAACATGATTTCTTGAACGTCAAATCTTTCTGTTTCTATTTAAGCTGCAAATGCACATTAACATGCAAAACGACGTTTCGTTTGTTGGTGGAATTTTGTTTGCGAAGTCGTTGGGGGCCGGGCATTTAAATCTTGTTATTTTTGAAAACCTGTTTCGTGGCAGGTGCAGATTTCCCATTTTGGCTAGCCACCAAATTCCAAAATTCAACTTGGCATTTTACATGCTACGCCGTGCTGTTCCACGGCCCTTGCCGTCGCAATAATGAGTTCTGTGTCCAAACTCGAATTTCCACATTTTGGTTTGGCTGAAAGTTTGGACCCCAAGCTCTTAAATCTGCCCATGGCTCTCGCAATTACAGCAGAGCGTATACTTTCAAGCCCCAGTTCCTGCCACCGCAAGTTTCAGCCATGCATGGGTAGAGTTACAACGCGGACATTCATTCTTGCCGATAGGGGGGTGCGTGTGGCTTGGCACGAAAGACTGCAAGGCATTTCATTCGTATCTAATTACAGGCGGCCCAACATGTGGATTGATATGATTTTCTTGTGTTGGCATTGGGTTGATAGAGCCGTGTGGAGAACGATGCTGACTGCAGAAAGGTATGCAGTAGGACAGTTGAAGAGAGATCTGCGTTCAAAGCGCTAAAGCAGACAGCTGTCCAATTTGAAGTTTATTCTAGCCAAGCAGTGTTCTGCCTGATTTTCAAAACAATGCTGCGCAGTTCTCCCCAATATAGATGCTTGCCAAGTTTGAGGCGCAATGGTCATTTGTTCTGTCACATGTTCTTTGAAGGATCTTTTAATTCCAAAGCGTTTTGAACTGTTTGTTTTTTGAAGACATCTTCGTACTTTGTCTTCCTCGTATATCTTAGGGCCGACGGATTTTCCGAGCAACCCCACGTTGGAAAGAATTCGTTCTCACATTGCAAGGCAGGCTTGCTTGATCCTATTGTAGAAGCCCGAAGGCTTGCTAATGTTGCCCGTCAGAGACCTCATATAGGCGCCGTACAATGTACTTTAAGCCCATTTAGTATGTTTCAGCTGGAGACTTGGGCCGTGTTGGAACCCATGATTAAACATGCATCTGCTGCAGCTTATACTGAACCCCGACACCCTAAACCGTAAACCGTGTATTTCAAACCTGACCATGAATGAACTGGACGACCCAGTATCCTCAACAAGCTTAAGTCGACCATGGGAGATGTTCAACTAGCCGTAACTAGCCAGATAAAGCGGCTGATAAGGACCGCCACATTTTTGGGGTGGATTCGGGAAACTCTCTTATGAAGGGGCTAGAGAGAC